ATGCCGACGCTGGCCAGAGCCTTTGCAAACAAGCCCGGCCAGAACGGCTCGACGTTCGCGCCGGCTGCTTTAATGAGGGCGTTGATCTTGCCCTCCGTGACGGTCACCTCCTCATCGTGCAGGATGAGGGCCGCGTAGATGCAGGCGAGCGCGGAGACCGAGGCCGCGGCGCGGGAGAGCTCCAGGCGGGCGCTGCCGGGCGCGGTGCTCGTCGCCGGAGGAAGGGAGGGCCTCACCCCATCGCGGCCTTCGCTCCCTCGGAGAACCGAGCACCTTGGCGGCAGCTGAGGGGAGAGCCATTTGTTCTTATTTTTTAATTTAAACATTCATGTGTAGATACAAGCAGTTAAGGGACAGCGACCTCATCTGTCTTATTTACAGTGACATTCTCAGTGCTTTAAACACTGCTGACAGGGTTAAACATTCAATAAAACTTTGTTGAATGAATAATTGAGTGTGTAATGGTTGGACACCTATAGTGTTCGAAACACTGTTGGATCCTATTGGGGTACAACTTTGAGGGTATAAGCTCTCTTAAGTCATAAAGCCTTAAGAGTCTAAAATGGAAAATACATATTGTACAAATAATGCCACAATAATACCGAAGAGAAAAGTTGCAATGCTGTCAGTGCAAAGCAGAGAAGGAGAAGCCATCCATGTGAGAAACTCACCCCAGTCTTCTTTGAAGATGTGACAAATGAGCCAGACATTGCAGAAGAGATTGAATGTCTACAAGTCAAGTTCAGGAGTTGACAGGAAGTTTATGACTGATAAACAAGACAGCATATTCAAAGATACTGAGATAGAAACACAAGGACAGTACATTCAGAGAATAGTAAATACTCTTGAAAAGCATTCATCTTTCCCCAAACAGCTATACTGGATGCATCTGTATCATTTGTGATAGCTACGTAGGTGGTTCCATGATATGGATGGTCATACGTGAGGACCACTGAATCTACCAGAGAATATTTATCCATGAAATCCTTTCTAATGATAATGGTATAGAGCGGTGGAACTCTGATTTAGCCTCTTTCTCATTTAGTGATTTTTAAAAGTTTGTTTCAAAGTTTTCCAGAGATATCCTATACATATGACTGAGCATGACCTCAAAATACAAGATGCTCAGTTTTGTTTCACTTTTTTAACTTTGTAACTAACTCAACCAAATAACTGAATTGATTGTGTTGGGATGGCTATGGCTTACCATCCTCCTGAGAACCAACTCATGAGTTTGTGGTCCGATTATTTTTTAGGATACTAAGTGATGCTAAGCTGATCTATTCACTTAGCAGAGTCTCACTGAGTAGTTACGGTGTCAGAGGCCCAGTGCTAAGTGATGGTCATACAAAGATAAATAAAATATAATCCCTGACCCTGAGAAGTCATCATCTATATAGGGCAGTCTTTCAACTAGCTTAGTAAAAAAAAAAATCTCCTACTAAGCTAATCATGTACAAATCACAATCCATAGAGAACTTTCACTCTAGAATGATCTAGTATGAACCGCAAATTTTGAAATTAATTTAGCTAAGCTCTAGATCAGTTTGTAACATTTCTTTTGTACCCAATCTCTTAAAAGAGGCAGATTTCACAAAATTAAAAAAAAAATCTTTTGTACATCAATAGCAAATACTAGCAATTGGTCTTCCTTCCCTTTCCGTCTCTCTTTATGTCTTTCTGTGTTTCTTATGCGTTGAATCCAGTACTTCCCTTATGACAAGACTAACTGATATTTTTGAAAAACAGTTTCTCATGACCTAAATATTCAGGAAGTTTCTCTAATATTTGTGATGCTTTAAGTGAGCAGCACAAAAAAACATCTCTTCAAATGGACTTGATGAAAATGGGGGTTGTTACACCAAGGTATCTCAACCAAGCTTGATAATTTTTTTTAAATTGATTTCTTACATTAGTATTTGTATCACCCAATTTCTCTAGCTGAAAATGCATTCACAGACTTAAGAAGGTATGCCACAATTTGCTGTTTTTCACTCTGATTGAGAATCATCATTGAGTGGTTAAATCAATTTTGTAGGTGAAGACTAGTTTTTTTTTTCCCCAAATGAAAGAAAGCATATTAGAATAAAATAGAATAGAGGTGAAAAATATCAACTGCATTGCCTGGAGAAAGTATGAGCTTTGTTTTATATGGAACATTTTTAATGTGGCTATGTATGTTGAGTCAGGATGTAATTCTTATTTTGGGAAACAGAATAGCTGGAAGAAAACACTTCATTTAGGCACTGATAATTGAGAGTGGTTGGAGGGAAGAATTATTTTTCTTCTAAATAGTTAGGACACTGGTGCTCTGGGCCATGGAGGTCAATCACTTGGTAAAGATCTCTCGCTGGGTCTGCAATGATAATGGAAGCCACAAAGTAATTGATATTCTTTGAAATGGCTCCTGCAGGTGATTTCTCCAGTGACTTTTTCTCATACATGACTGAGTCTGCCACTATCTTTCCAAAACCAGAAATATATTTCTTGCTTGAAAACTAGGCATAAATTTGGCTTTTCTTTCCTCAAGGGAAAAAAAGGCCAAACTGCATTGGTATCACAGTACAGAGTGCTGTGTCCCATCTGTTGTCTTGAAAGGCTTTACGGCACCATCTACATTCGTCAACCTTCTAGTCTTTTATCTTGGACACCTTCGTCAACATCAGTGGAATGATTATTATTCAGGACTTCGCACTTTTTCCAGAATTTGCTAAACTCTGGGTTTAACCACTTGTTTCAAATATTGCGATCAAAAATCTATACACAGCCAAACAGATTCTCCCATTCATAATCTGTTGTTCTCTTCTTAGTTGGTTTTGACTGAAAAGGAAAGTTGCTTTAACCATATTCTCATTTGTTCTGAATCCATTGGTGTTTTGACATGAGTTACATCCCTTTAAAAAGTTAGTTGGAGGCAGAAAAGAAATGATCTTTTCCTCAATCTCACCCACTGCCTTTACTTTTCATTGCTAGACATAATTACTATGTCATTTAGGTCTCAATACAATGCCTATGTTGCTAAATTGCGCTAGAAAGCCGCTGATAAAGTCTTTTGATTAGTGGCAGACAGCTTCTGTGGATGTCAGCTCGTGTTCACGGCTGGCGTCTTTCAAGCAATTCAGTTCTTCAGTAACTTTGTGTACTCCTTCAGTTAATTACTGCCCGTGCAGTCTGGGGAAGGAGTTGAACTGATGAATGTCATTACCCTTTCAGGATGCTAAATAGATGGTTCCACAAATTCTGAAGGTGCCCGAGGTAACACTAGTAGAATTATCTGTAGCTATATTTTCTAACTTGCACGGGGAAGTCCAGGTAACACGTACCTTCTACCTTGTTTGGATCCCTGATATCTTTTGTGAAAACTTTTGTCTCCCCTAATCTAACACAATTCCCTATGTGACTCTATTAGAGATTTACTCCTAGGAATGGGCCTTTTTTCCAGTTATCACCTAATAGAATACAATTATCCCAAAATATATTAACACTCTATAAAGCATTACCTTCTCGAGAAGAATGTGTTAGTTCCATCATTTCCTAGAAGGACGTAACGGTTTTGTGGAAAAGAGCATGTTTTTAGAAACAGAAGGTTTGGGCTCTCTTTCTAGGTCTCCCACATTCCAGCTACTGCACAGGAAAAGTCGCCTCCCCTCTCTGTCGGTCAGGCCAGAGTAAACCTACTTGCCCCACCTACCTTCCTCACGGGGCAGTTGTTCGTATTAGGTAAGTGAGGGCAGGTGCAGGAAGAGAAGTGGGATTGTTCGGTGACTAAGGGCACAGGCCCTGGAGCAAGCGTCCCTGGGTTCCGATTCCACTGAGGCTCTGAGTGCTGACTGGCAACCTGTCTGCGTTCAGGCACCTCACCAGCAGAGCAGAAATAACAACAGCAACTAACTGTGCATGGGTGACTATGAGAGACACAGAATACGCGTGGGGCGCTCAGAGCAGCGACTAGCACACAGCGAGCACAACAACTCTGCTGGCTGCTACTGAGTGAGCACACTTGGGGCGCTGAAAATGTAGCAACTACATAGGAGACCTTACGATGGCTAGCGAGTCACAGCCCCTGTGAAGATGAATCAGTCCTTGTAAGTTTAGATGGAGCGAGTTTGAAGAAAATGGACCTTCCAACCTGAAAGCATGAGAAGCAGATCTCGGTAAAGTTTTATCATGGGGAGCTCTGGGTCTCAGAAAACAACAAGAAAATAATTCAGAAAAGAGAAAGCGGATTTGGAGGACGATGGCAATTGGAGAGGACTGACAGGAGGCCCACACTGGACTGCTGAGCCTGCAGTGGCCTCACAGTCTGCTTCCCGTGTTCTCACGTGCAACGGAAAACGCCTGAGGACGTAACGAGAAAATTTTTAGAGATTAAAAGAATTTCAACACCTTACATGTATATTTATCTCCTTGTGTCACGTTTTCGCTTACCCCATCCTACCAGGAATAATTTTTACAAAAGAAGCCTGAAAATGATACGCATTAAAAAAAAAACCTACCAGAAATTGCACACATAAATGTAAGTTTTTCTTCAAAGTAAACATCTCCATTCAATTATAATAGCCAAATAAAAATTTTCTATAAACTCATAATAAATATGAAACATAATAAATAACTTATTCAGCTATTCCAGTAATGCAGCCATTGCTCAAGCTATTCTTAGAACTTTTTTCTTGAATCGCTTTGAGTCAATTTTGAGCTACAAGAAGAAATCAGTAGTGTTAATTTAATAACTACCTAATTATTTCATTGCATTTTTTATTAATCAGTTGGCTTATCTCTTTTGAAGGTTTCTGTTTGCTTTAAGGCTACCAACCTAATGTCTTTTCTCCTGTGATCAATGATCTCTTTTGTTCCCAAAGAATTTATTTCACTCAATGATCAAACAACTTTATCTGCACAGGTCTAGATAATAAATACTTCAGGTTTCGAGGGCCATCTGTTTCTGGTCACAATTACACAACTCACCTGTTTTACCTTGAAATCAGTTAGGGACTACATGTAAATGAAGTGGTATGTTGTGGTTCTAATAAAACTTTATTTACAAAAACAGGAGGTGGGCTGGATTTTTAACACTTCAAATATTGATGAGACTAATTTGCCTTCCTTTTAGGAATAAGAATTAAATAATGATGTAACAGTATCTGACACATCGAAGACACGCAAGACATGCCTTTCTTCCCTTCCCAGCAGCGGTACCAGCAGCGGTAATGTAGCAGAAATCACATGAGCTTGAGTCCACAAGACTGTTTAAGTTCTGGCACCAATTAGCTATGCAATTCTCTGAGGTTCAGATCTGTAAAATGGAACCATCTTTTGTCACCATATGGGACTCTTATGAAACGTAAGTGTGACAAAGCATCCAACATTTCTGCTCAGAGAAGCTATAGTAAAAAAAAAAAAAACTATTTTAAACTCTCCTTGAAGGGTAGGAAGGGATAAATTGGGAATTTGAGATTTGCAGATACTAACTACTATATATAAAATAGGTATACAACAGGTTTCTTCTGTCTAGCACAGGGAACTACATTCAGTATCTTGTAGTAACCTATCATGAAAAAGAATATGAAAATTAACATATGTATGTATATGTATGACTGACTGAAACATTATGCTGTACACCAGAAACTGACACACTGTAAACTGACTACACTTCTATACACACACACTCACACACATACATATAAACAAAATTAACTCTCCCTGAGGATTTCCATTTCAAAGTCCTGTCCAAAATATTTCCTGAATGGCAAATGTATCAACTTTATTATATCTCAGCAGCAGCAGCAGCAGCAGATTTTGGAATTCTCAACTGGTCTTTTGCTAGAAATCAGGTTCCATGGGAGAGAAATTAAGACATCTCTTCCTCACATCTCATAGAACTTTAGAACTAAAACCACTGTCAAGATCAGCCCATCATTATCACCTTACAGGTAAAGAAACCCAGACTCCTAGAGATTAAATGACACACTCAGAGTAACTCAGAGACTCGGGAAGGGTTCAGACCAGGCCTCCGTGCTCAGGACTCTCACTCCAGCATGCTCACAGCCACCCCACTTCACTGGTTTCCACACCAAGTAAGGCTCGAAGCCCGTTCTGTGCTCTTTGGGCCACCTGGTTATATGTGTCAGAGTTGGCAAGTGCAGAATTATTTAACCTATTTGTATTGCAAAGGAATGGGCTCTAGCCAACTGCAGAGAAGGGAGCTCAGTAAAAGGGGAGGATACTGACTGCACCTCCACCATATCAAGTGAGGCACTTAGAAGATAGACTGGCTGACATCTATTGCTGGAGGTAGGGTTTCGGTGACATCACTGAACGTGTGCACTTGGATTTCATGGGACCGCATCCTGGAGGGCCCAGGACACTCTTCACACCATTCTTCCCCACTGAAAGAACTTAGAAAATGTCATTGCACAGACCATGCAGCATAAGTGGCATTTTGAACACACAGAACAATGGCGTGACATTTTGAGCTGCTGAGAGCAAGCCACTTGTGTGTAGCTATACTACACACGTCCTAAGTAACACCCCTGTCCTGCCCTCCCCTCTCCTGCTTGCTCTCAAGCATCCTTACTTCTTCTGCTGACTCAGTTCTACATTTTGTCCCTTCATCAGCTCAACTCACCGAGAGAGTTATTAACATGAAATCCTCATGCTCTTTACAGCATTTGAACACTTTCTTTCTAGTTTGCTTCTCTTTTTTCATTGTTACTTTTCACATAAACAGACATCTAGGAATCGAGATGCTCTTCAAATAATTTTCCAAAGAAAGAAAGACCTTCTTGGTTGCTAGGATTAGAATCTTTATTGTTTTTGTTTGAGTGTAAAAGTGTAGAGATGTGTGTGTATTTGTCATATATGACATGTTTGTTCTTGTCAATGTATCCCAAATGCTTATTATAGATCTTGTGTACGTGCCAAGGGCCATCTCTGTAAATTAGTTTTTAGAAGTATAATTATTTTTCAAAAATGTTGAGTCTCTACATTTTCTTATTAGTTAAAAAAAAAACTCCATTTAATCAAACTTGTAAAATTCAGCATCCATGTTTGAAATGGCTAATGTTAAAGTATACTTTTTAAGTGCATTTATTTTTACATGGATATATTTTATATACCAATTTGCTTGTTCTGCCTTCTTTCACACTGCCCCCCTCCCCCGGATTAAAATGTTCTGACAATTACATCTGCAATAAAAATCAAACACATAACCATGCATATTTTTAAGAAGAACAATGAATATACCTTCCTTTTCTCATTTATGTTCTCAAAAGTTCTATTGTTTTCTGAAGACAAATGTTAATTGATATGTGATTGAGGGATTAAGAGAAATGTAGGCCCTCTGTTAGCCGTTTTATATCACTGTATTTTTTCCCATGTCTGGAAATTTTGAGTTAGGAGGCACACAGATGATACTGAGTGACTTGTGGCATGGCCAAGCTGCCACTCCGTCGCAGACTCTCATCCCAACACCACATTTTCCATTAGGATGTTTCCATCAGGATCAAGTTCCTCTTCAGGGATAAGAGTGGCTCATCTTGTCTCCCTGTGCTTCATAAAGGCAGCCTGAGAAAGCCCATAATCAGCAGAGTTATCAGTAGCTGATTTAGCTCCTCCTAAATGTATTGGTAAAAGAAATATCTGCGGGTCATTTTAGCCACTCACTCCTGATACCTCCCTGTCTCAGCAGCCGCCCCCATCTCTCTCTACTAATGTACTTAGTAGGCGGAGTATCTGTACCAGTTCAACCTCATTGAGAGGCTTCACAATTGTGCTCCTGCTCCTAATTCTAAACCAAGATTTTAACCATGTGTGACTGAGTTCAGAATAAAAGAGCAGAGTATTTATTAAGATAAATAAAAACAAAACTGTCCCTCCCCAAAAAACATACACAAAGCAGCCAAATAATGAAACAGAAATATTTGGGTTTAAATTATCCAAGTCATATTCCAAATAATTCATTTTAATTTGATGGCACAAAAGCTTTAAAGAAAATAAAGGACAAAGTATATGAAGAATTAATTTTCAGTAATTTATTCATCATCAAAAATTATTATTTTTCTCCGTTGCACCTTGATCTATAATCTTAAACCTGTCTGCCATCCAAACCTATAAAACACCAGCAACTTTAGTGTCAATATCCACATTTTAATACTTGTTTGGGCCTAATAATTTGAAATGAATTGTGGTCCTAGTATTTATAATATTTGGTAGCTCTTTTGGTTTCATTAAAACATATTAAAGATTTTTCTTTTGATGTAAATATTTTATGTCTAAATATAATTTTATATGAAAATACATTTGTTGTATTCATTATCAGTTCTTGATATAGGATTTTAAAAGATACATTTGTTATGCTAAATTTGGTAGCACTTTGGAATTCAATCAGAAGGACTGAGATTTGAAACCAGGAAATTTGGGGAAATAAATGTTGCCAATTCAAAAAAGCCCCAATCTAATACAGTAAAGAATGAGGCTACATGGCAAAGGGAAGTGACTATTACAATTTAAAATTATATTTCCATTAGCACTTTGTAAAGAATCTTGTTCTTTCTGACTTGGTAATGAGACGAAAGTTTCGGAAAGAGCAGGCTCTGAAGATGTTTGTGAACACGATAAGGAAATGAAAGGGAAAAGAACAAGAGGTGCTAAAAAGGAGCAAAAAGGGAACATTATAAAACACCTTTTCACAGGTCTTCTCATGCACAATATTTAAATACAAACAGTAACTAGTGTTACACCAGCTGCTCTCGGGTTGGCAAAATATATCAAAGTACAGCATATTGGAAGGAGTCCTGAGTCTCCATTTACTGTATCTATCCAGACACATCAATTCTTTTCACTCCAGCCTGATAAAGTGGAACTGCAGCAGACAAATGAGCCAGTGGAGCTGACATAATGTGTTTGTCACAAAGAAGCGCTGGATGAAAAAGCATGACTTTGATCCTCAGTGAGGTTACTGTTTTACAGTACCATGAATTTAATTCTAATTTGATGCCTTAAGTCACCGTTCACTGTTTATTGGCCAAAGTTTATTCCCATTTCATCTCCAGCTGTTAAAAGGCTAACTCCAGCAATCCTTACACAAGTAAAACTCCACCCCCAACCAAAAAAAAAAAAAAAAGAAACAAACAAACAAAAAGAAAAGGATGGAAATTTACATGCAAAGGGTTGACTTATGATCTTTTAACCCGATAAAACTACCATGGGTTGATGACAAGAGGTTAACTAGCAGGTGGATGACAACTGTTCCCAAACCCAAGGTGGAAGCTTGATTTGAATTTAAATAATGATACATGCCAGACAGTTGCCAGAGAATTATATACTGTCTGAATATATATTTTTCTGAAATTTTCATATATAAAAAGCTATTCTTTCTTTTTATAATGACTTGAATATTTTTGAAAGTAAAGGTTTGGATTTGAGTTCTGAATGACATGAACTATTTCATCACTATTCTCCTTTAACCAAGTAAACTGATTCCGTGATTTTCTTTAGCTCATCAGACAAATAATAATACCACAGGTGGAGTCTGTCACTGGTGAACTGGGATGGGGCAGCACAGAACAATGGGCTCCCAGGACCAAGGCTCTGAGCAGATGAGTAAACACTGCCTTGAACAATTGTCATGGGGTGGAAGATTCTTTCTTGATACTTAGTACTGCAGCCTCGCAGATTTTTTCCTTTTAATTTCTTTAGAGTGCGTGGACGATTAGCTCAGCAGATGAAGAGCTGAAATGTAATGAATTAAAATTGGTTTTGTGAACCCAGATCAATAAATGAATCCCAGCCTGGCTATAAAGCACATGTTAACATAGTAGGCAGAAGACAAGCAGAAAGAAAATACCGTCCCTGCCAGCAATCTTTAATAATTAAAATGTATCTCTCCAATCAAATGTTTGGCTGAAATATACTGAAGGAATTATAATACAGCCATATTGCAAGGTTATGCTTACATTCTACACAGGGTTAGTTATTGCTTGGTAAAATAATTAAAATAACATGCCTGCTCATGATCTCTTAAATAATCTTTTTATTGTATACTTTTTGGATGATGGACAGCAATCTTTACAACACACATCTCCATCTCTCAATAAAGATGGGTATCTTTGTTAATGACAGACAGCAATCTTTACAACACGCCTCTCCATCGCTTTTCACAATAACTTGAATTACAGCCACATTTTTGGCCATCCAAAAAACTCTCTATAGACTCTGTAGATACATCAGCAGTCTCAGTTTCTTCATGGCTGGACACACCCAGGATGACAGGGACACAGAGGTGAGTGGGATCTTTTAGGGGAGGCAAGAGCAGAAGGTCCAGAGAAACCACGATACTTAGAAGTTAGGTTTATCACGTAGAGGGGCTTTGATGGCTCCAAGCCAAGAGAGTTTGGTCATGAAGAAAAAGGTCACTACATTCCTGTTTTTCTCCACGATCAACTGGTAAGATGTGGTTAGCTGATAAGTATTTTAAAGTTAAAACTATCTGCCTCACCAGGGCAGTAGAGCAAGATTCATTTTGATTTGATTTCTGAAACAAGATTAGAAAATGAGAAGGAAAAAAAAGCGTGCTCAAGGTCCATGTTAAGACTATGTCCTAAGATTTCTGGGAAACCTAAAGAAATGCAGAAGTTGCCATCTGTTGGTGTCTAGGTTCTTTAAGGATACGTGAGCCAGGGATGTCACTGTTTCTCACAGCCATTACCTGCTCATGGACTGATGCTGAGGACCAAGAGGACCAATAGCACGTAACCAACTACCCCGGTGCAAATCCTCATGGCACCAAAAATGGATAGCGGTGGTAGCCAGGAACAGAACATTGTGTCTTCTGTTGGCCCGGCAGCGCATGAACCAAGGATGTTCAGCGTGCCCACGGCAAAGAACAGTAGCACAATACAGCCAGTACGTGCCGAAGCAGGCTGCGAGAGGACTCCGGGCCAAGGAGGCAATGTACGCCACACTCCTGCTCTAGGCCGCTGTGCTGATGGCCAGCTTTCTATCTGGTTGAGTGAGCTGGGCCCAGCGAATGGCTTGCAGCCAGTTTTTCAAGCAGTTTCATCTCTGTCCCTCATCAAGCAGCAAAAACATCGTGTTGGTAAAAGAGACGGTCAGTGGACGAAGCTTCTCCGGGCTGGAGCTGGGAATCGAGCTGACGGAGAAATGGAAACTGCTCTTCCTGAGATGTTAACCCCGCTCTGAGATGCTGGCTATCAACTGGCAAAAGAAGATACTACTGCCCTCATGAAACTTCTGTGAGATCAGTCAACATGATGTTAATTTTGTAAAATTCAGATCTGAAGCCGAGAGAGACTAAACAGGCTTTCTTAACATCACTCAGCTAGCAAGTGGTGCAACAAGGATTTGAATCCAGGTCTCTTCAGCCTGGTTCCCTCTTGTTTCTAGTATGTCCCACTGTTACTGCTTCTGCCCGACCGCCTATGATTCAGCCCAGACAAATTACTGGACATAGATTTAGCAAGGCTGATAGAGCGCAAGCCACAGAAAGAACTTGAGAAC